CCCCAAAACCCCAAAACCCCAAAACCCCTACAAATTCCTAAAATTTCATAATTTTTTAAGTAAAAAAACATGATTACACTGAAATCGAAGAGAATTTACGCACAGATGAGGAACGAGATTAGGCAACTTGAAGTAAGTGGGACAGGGGAAGGGGATGGGGTTTAATGATAAGTGTAGGTTTTGGGGGTGGAGAATAGGGATTTGGGGGCTTTGAGGCTTTGGGGATGAAGACTTGTATAGAGGATTGTGGGACTTTCGGAGCTTTATGGAGAGATAGCAATGGATCTGGTATGGGAGATTTGGGGGATGAGTTATAGGTGGTTAATAGTGAGAGAGATGATGCGGTTAGAGAGATTGGAGTACTTGAGAAGGAGATAGAGAGTAAGATTCATTGTTGAGGGCGTAGAGAAAATTATGTGTCTTGAGAAGTAAGATTTTGGATGATAATTGGTAGTGATAAGGATTATTTTGAAGGTAAGAGGTTAAGATATTACCTTATTGGTTCGTTCTCATTAGTTCTTGCAGGAATCAGTGACCAGAGACTCAAATTGATTTATAGTAAGCAGACTTTAAGAGCATAGATAATTTGAAAGAACAGTATGATTTAAAGAATGAGGAATTGAGGAAGAGTGCTTCATTAACAAAAAGTCATCAGAGGTACATTTGTAGTCAATTGTAATAGAACAAGCTCCTTTCTAGTCGAACTAAAGAAGGAGTATAACTACTTTAGAGGTATATTTCTTATCTTTAAAATATAGATTTACACAAAAGAAAACAAATAAGCAAGGAACATGAACTGTTGAGTTTTACTTTGATCAATCTAGGCCAGATTACGGAAATCTCAAAGAATATATGGAAGAATTTGAACATTATGTCAAACCTTGGGATTATGATTATGATTACAATGACTCTTCAGATGAACTTGATCAAACTGAGGAAATGAGACTAAAATCTGAACAGGAAGCATCAGATTCAAAATTATTGGATGGAGAGAATGAACTATCCATAGATTCAAGTTATGAGCTTTCCTCTAAATCCCATCTTACAATTGTTATCAGCGATGATAGCGACTAATTTTTGTTAAATAAAATAGTTTGTTCAACATTTAGAGTCAAATATGGGGTTTTGGGGTTTTGGGGTTTTGGGGTTTTTGGGG